AAAAGCTACAAGTGGACTATCTGCGCTAGCCGTCCCTAATTTAACAGTGTAAGACTAGAGGGAAGGCAGCTACTCATCACCACCCACCGTCAACTCTTGGGCTACCCTTTTACCAACGAATAGTAGGATTGACCGACACATTATAACGCCCCCGCGACTAAAAGGGCAAGCATGTTTGGTGGGACGGGGATTCGAACCCGCGACCTCAGATTACGAGTCGAGCACCCTAACCACCTGGCCATGATTATTGGATGGATTATTTCGGTTTACTCAACAGACGCAAAGCGCAGTCCACTAAATATTAACAAAAAGTATTTTCCCCTTCTCTCTCTTTCTTCGACTACTAATTCTAAAATTTACAAATTTTGCTGTTTTATACGACAAACCATAGGCCTAAGTTCTAAAATTTACAAGTTGCTGTTTTATACGACAAACCATAGGCCTAACTTCACAAATAAATAATATCTAAACATAATTCTAGTTGCAGATTTTTTTCTTTTGTACTTCGTCACAACCACAAATTCAATTTAATGTACTGAACTAACTAATTGCTGAATAGCAAGATAAAAACTGAATAAAATGTACTGATTATTCGTTATCTAAAAGCTCACTAACTCTAGCCTGACTCATTCTTTGTATCTTGTTCAAAGCGTTCTGGCCAGGTGGTTAGAGCGCTCGACTTGCAATCTGCAGGTCGCGGGTTCGAATCACCGTCACACCAAAATGCTCGCCCTTTTCAACCTCATGTTATAATGTGATGGTCAATCCCACTATTCGTTGGTAAAAGAGTAACTCAGGAGCTGGCGGTGGGTGGTGATGACTAGCTGCCTTCCCTCTAGTCTTACACTGTTAATTAGGGACGGCTAGCGCAGATAGTCCACTTGTAGCTTTTGGTGAAATTCAAAACAAACCAAACTAATCAAAGCGTTCTAAAATACCGGAGAAAAATCCAGACGTTAAACCACGTGACGCCAAAAACCCTCTAGCCGAACAGCAATAGAAATGTCTAAATAAATTAATAAAATAAATGTAACTTACAACAGGATGAACATACAAACAACTTTTAGCCAAATCCAGAATTTTGAGAGTTTTGCAAACAGGTAGTTTTTAAATAACATCTTCCAAATTTATTTTAATTTTATGCTTTTCCCTGACACTGTCATTTTGCTGGATGTTTGCATTGTTACGCTGAACACGTCCTGTTTGTGATGAAACGAAAACGAGGAGTGCAATGTAGTCATGTAGATATTATAAAATCAAACAAGGAGTGCTTCGTTGTTACTCCTGAAAATTCGACTAGTATAACTATGGAAGAAAATAAAGATCGAAAGAAAAAACTTGATGACATGATTGTAACATCAACATGACCAACTATTTACGTAACAACAACTTGATGACATGATTGTAACATCAACATGACCAACTATTTACGTAACAACAACTTGATGACATGATT